ACGAGCGTCCAGCTATGGTTGGAGCGCGAGGGGGGATGCTTAAGAGATATCAGGCTTGTCCGAGCGGGTCAGATATCTCACCTCTCAAAATGTGATCGGTATCCTCAGTGATGCCTTCTCGTCAAGCGACGTTTCGGAGGCAGGCTAGATTTCTTAGAATGCACGAAGAGTGGATGGTTTGTTTTGGCTGAGGGAGGATTCTGATCAGATGGCCTCCGTATATTCAAGACTCGTTCAGGAGCTCGAATCATATCCACAGAGCACTCTTCGATGGCACGCCGACCTCATGATTTTCAGTTCACTCTCCCACATCGACGACTGCGTTCGAGCGCGGAAGATGACTAAATAGCTTAGAATGGTTCCCAGAAAACTCCTTCGGTAGGCTTGGCGAGCCATGGGTGCGGGAAACCGCGATTCCGGGCTTCTCCGAGCTATTCGGATCAGTAACTTGATCTTCCGATCGTCGACTGTCTCCGAGACACGTTCCATGCGTGATATCCGACGGCTACGGGAGACTTCTCCCAATCAACAATCTATTTTCTCGGAGAAATATGTCTTGCGGCAATAGCCCAATACTTAACAAAATCACCGCGGTAACCCAAGAGGTAACATCCTTCAGATCAGAACCCATGGACGATAATAATCAAAGCGGGTACAAGGGAAGCATTCAACGAATCCCTCTTCTCTTCACGAGCTCAACCTTGAACTCCTCTTGCATTAATATTGGACGCTGCCCTGTCGGGGAGTGAGAAATTGAATATTTTCATCCCGCTGCGGAATCGAAAACGATAGCTTGCATCCCATCCACGGATCGAAAACATTCGATGTCGAGACACGGCTGAAGAAGCGTGTAGTTTGGCATAATCTCTATCGCACCGCCGCGGCCTCTCTCCCCAGTTTCAGCGGATTCCTAACGAAATATGGGGGCGAGCTTGGCGAAAACTTTTAGGCACCGTCGTGACGGTATCTCCCGATAGACTAACTAGGAGACTCACCCGATGCAGACAATGGCTCCTCGTTATCTCCGTCGATATCGCCGACGTCGACGGTTCCGCAATATTTCTTCTCGCTTCCCTTAGTCTTCTAGTTTTCATCGAGATTTTAACAAGTTGCGTTACGTGCCATTGGAGGTCACTCGGGGTACAATTGATTGAGCACATCAAGCACAAATCCTCTTCACGGTGGGAGATGTTATTCGCGCGCGTGCCTGCCTGATTCCACCCCAAAATCGAGCGTCCATCGGCGGCTGACGCATTTCGAATTCGACCCGCACGCTTGATTTATTGTGGTTGCGTCGAAGATTGCTGGCGAGCCAGTCGAAGCTCTGCTTCTGATTTTTCCGCGACTCTCTGTTATCAGCCACGGACAAGGTCACGGACACACTTGCACACGACGAATATCTATTGGACTGCGGCAAGCAGGGTCGACTTCGGATTGGACATCAGACATCACGCTCAAAATCGTCGAGCGCATCAGACGGGAAGCTGAAGACACACATATTCCAGTGAATCCAAATATAGCTTCGTCAATATTGTCAGAGACACGAGACGACGTCAACAGTGTCTGCTGCTCTTCGACCGGTTTCAGCGGATACCCCGCGTATCAACCCATCAAAATGTTTGCTCCCTCTTCTTTACACTTGGAATCTTTCTGTTCGAGACTGTCCCAAGTACATGGTTCTCTCTTCACAAGTTGCATCGACTCCGGAATGCACATGGGAGATGACTCGGTCGGCGGTCCGCAGAGGCCGACTCTCCGAGGTACGAGCTGATGGATTCGGAGATGGCGGAATCACAGTCTCCGACTTTCTCTGGCGCTCCCTCCGTACAACGGGAGCCCTTTTCTCCGTCGGAGAATGTTATGGTCAGGGTGTCTTCGAATATCCACGCAGAACTTTGCGCGCCGCCATGATGCGCGAAGCTACCGAAAATTTTCTCTCAGCGAGATAACTCCATGCCTCTATATGAAGTTCGTCGACGGAACTGTTGGAGAGGACGGTGTCCATGGGGTTCAAGGGGGGTGTCGTGGCTACCGCCAGGATCTGATCCTCTCGAGACCATCAGCGGGGGGAAAGAAAAATCTCAAGCTCATTCCAGAGTCATGACTCCGTTCTCGTCGCCTCTGTGGTGGAGCAGACTGCTCAGGGAAATAGCAAGCTCATCAATGATCAATGTCTGCGTAAAGACACGAGTTCACTAAAAGTCGAAAAGGGATAAGAGACATCCAGAAAATCCGTCCTGAGCATCGGTCGAGGGGGTGACAAAAATCGACAAGTTGAAGTCAGAAGCGCCAGCGGCTCTTCACGACTCCATTGCGTAAAACGATGGGTACGTAGTACGTATCTAGTGCCACGGATCGATGACGGAAATTACGATAGTGCTCCTCGCCATGCCCAGGGTCCTCCCGCCACTACGGGACTTTGTAATAGGATGAGACAAGAACGTTGAGGAAAGCGAATGGATCGAAGCTCGGTCACCGGCTGGCTTGCTGGCTCGCTGGTCAGAAGCGGCTCCGTTCGGCGCCGGTAGATGGATCAGATGTCTTCTGATGCGGTAAGCAAATCCAATCGGGTCATCGAGATCTCTCAGGCGTTGCCTCGGGCCTCATTAAAGCGTGGACAATCTGGCGAGTAGCATTGAACTTGCTGATAAGTTTTCTCTTCGTCTTCCCCCTTCTGTGTAACGGGATATTCTCCGACCGCACAGAGAGAAACTCGTTATGAGAAAGCATCACGAATTATTCGACTAATTCCGCATCCGGGCAGCGGAACGTTCCGGAGCGTCTCTCTTAGTAGCCTGAAGGATGTCTGATACCGAAACGTGATCCGAGATGGCAATCGTGAATCTTAAGCTCCCTATCGCTCGGTCTCGGATTGAACTCGCTGTGTCAGAGTCCCCAGACAGAACGTGACTGAAGGGTGTCAGGTATGTTTACCGAACATGTTTTTCGAGCTTTATATTCACAGACGCCTAGCGTAAACAAAAGCGAGCGCTCTTGTGCGGGCTCTCGTGTTTGGTCGACAGAATATGAAAGAGTTGATGTAATGAGCCGTAATGACGGGTTTCGGGCACCAGTGTTCTGATACAGCCCACGAAATGCATTGTTGGAACTCTCGATTCCTGATGAAATTCTGCCGACTCAGTGTAGATGACCGAAGTATCAACGGTGCTTTGAATGATACGGTGTGACAGAACGCGAACGCTTGTCATCACCGCGTGACGGGCTGTGTGCAGAGGGACGAGAGAGGGTATTGAATCATTCAGGGACCGCGGCACCTTTCAGCTCGGGCACGACGCTCGCTGCTTGAGACGTGACTGAGTTCGAGCGTCAGGGTCAAAGGAGATACGTGTCACTCATAGGCTTCACCGAGTTCAATGTGACGACTTGATGTTTGATTCTCTCTTGTTCGGGATGCGTTGCTCAACTGCATTACTTCACTCTTGGAAGTGAATCCATGAGTATCGAATTTATGACGAAGTGCGGATTCGTCATGAGATGAGATTGAGAATTATTATTCTGATGACTCTGTACCCCGCTATTCCGATTAGACGAGCATCCGATATCCGTCTCTTATCGGTCCAGCAAATCAGCGCGCCCACGAGGTTCACCCGCTGTCAAGAAGCTCTCTTGAATTGTTTTCGGGGAGGGATCCTGATGCTCGACCGCGTGATAGGATAAGCGTCCGACGCTGAACAGTGAGGGGCATTGTGACCAGACGGACCCAACTTCGTTCGGGATTCTCATCGAGCAACCGAATAAAGAAACGATTCAAGCAGACATGAGTATATTGTCGCTACGGATCCTGAAGCTCCCTCAAAGTCCAGAATTCGTCTCTGTGCGGTGAACTCTCGGGAAAATTGTCTGGTCGCTTCGAACGTTGTTAGCTGTGAGCGGTAACGCCTTCAGCACACATATACTTTCACTCTGTTTTCATTTATGATGGCTATACAAGTGAGTTTTGCCCAGCAGAGGTCGAGCTGCCCGCTCGACTACATGCAGGTTCTTTACAAATTCCATAGCGGGCGCCTAGGCGGATGCGAAACCGCGGGCGTCCTCAGATTGAATCTCACGCGCCCTCGATTCTCACCCTTGAGGAGAAATTCCGCCCCTGAAACTCGAGGCTTATAATTAGTCACTGATTGAGAATCAGAGACCAGGAAAGTCCAGTCCAGCCCCCCTCTCCCCTCCTGAAACTCGAGGCTTATAATTAGTCACTGATTGAGAATCAGAGACCAGGAAAGTCCAGTCAGCTTCAGATATCTCGATACTTCTCGAGCGAAACATGGGAATTCTATTCTTCGAGAATGAGTCACAACCCAAAGCATACTATTGGAGTCCGTGATTTTGGGAGAACACCCTAGATCGCTAGTTTCGCATTCGACGAAGAGCGTGGAATGCCAGCGATTCCGAATGCTAAAGCGGGCGATGCCGTTTCAACATAAAGATAAACCTAGCCCTCGAGCGTAGACTCGGTACGGCTCGGATGAATGAGTCGTTCTGCGAGCTGGCTTGGAGGCATAGTTCGGGTTCGATTCCGAAATATTGAACCGAGGCGATGATTCCGCTCAACTTGACGCGCTCCGCCACTGAGACGGTGATTGCGACGACGATCTATGACACATAAGCGTGAAGTATCCATGCTCTTGTGTGCGCACAAGCCGTGATGACATCGCCAGAGGAAGGTTGATGAGAGCCGTTCGTTGATTGTAGCTGATTTCTTTTCACGCGACCGTTGCAGACGAAAGCGAAAGCTAAGTAGCTGTATCTAGAACTCCTTTCATGAAGAGACATTCTGAATTGCTCAAGAGGAACGAGAACGGCAGCGCGTGTCGGATGGTGGAATCCACGAGACGAATAGACTTAAGAAGCAATCAGCGAACGAAGAGCAATCAGCAAGATGCTCACAGAAAGAGAGGGTGTCGAAGTTCGAAATCGATGGGGAATATTGGACGCTCGAAGAGCTCGAGAAAATAGCACCGGAACGAATCCTCGGATTTTAAGCTTAAAAACACATTTTATTAACCAGCCGAGTGTTCACCCGACGGTCCGAAACAATGCAGCAAACGCATTCCATCCTGAGTCTGTACAGGCATCTGACTAGTTTCTGAGCTGGACTTCTAGCGTCCGATTCTCAGGATGACAGGCACTAGATTCTTCGAGTTTCACCTTGCGAGCGCCTTCCCTACTACTGGAATCGATGCGGATCCCAGAACTGTTACCCGATCACGGGAATATCGGTTTCCGAAGTCGTGCCCCGGTTCGTAAAGGCATTTCAAGCATCTGCTACAAAAAGTGTGCTGTGAATGGCACTTGAGAGATCATGATTAAGGCTTCTTTGGTCCCCTCGTTTGGAAACGGATCGCTTCAACACACACACACAGACGTTCACAACGAGAGCCCTATGGCTGAATTATAGAGACCCGCGTAGACGTTGTTGGAAGGGTCGCGCCGATCGTAAATGTGCCTCTGTATTTCGTTGGCGTCGGCCACGATCCTGATCCACTGCTTATCGACAGACGATGTCCTGACAGCGTCGACCACGCTCTGAACGTACAAGGCATCCTCGAATGTGGCTGCGCTCTGCACGCTGTCTTTCTGCCACTGGTTCGACTTTGAGATGAACGCTTCCTTCAGGGAGCCGATCAGTTTGATCCAGCCCTTCACGTGCGCCTTCGGTAGATGTGGGGGATGGATCTTGTCCTGAAGCTTCTCCTTGGCAAGGTCGCTGATGTTCCGAGGCAAAATTGATGGGGATTGTTTGAGGTCTTCCACATCGAGGTACAGGAGATCTTCCTTCATGGACTCGGTTTTCTGACCATACAGGTCCCCGCAGCGAACCATGAGTATACCGTCGCTGCCGCAAATCGTCATCTCCTCCGAATACTGTCCTCGAAATCGAGTGTTTATGTTGACGGTCACTAGGGCACCATTATCCATTTCCATCTGGAAGGCACAGAAGTCGTCCGCCTGCAACTGATGGAAAATGTCTTTCGACGTCTCGAGTGTTCTCAAAGTACCCACAACACGTATGGCTCGGAGGCCGGTTATGAAGCTCACTATATCGATGAGATGACTTCCGAAGTTCGCGAGCGCTCCGCCACCCACTCTGGAGTCCTGCAGCCAGGTATAACGACCCTGGAACAGGCTTCCGCACATCACCCTCACATCAACGGTTTGCACCTGGCCAACGTATCCATCGTTCAGATGTTTTCTCATCTGCACGAAACAGGGCAGGAATCGCAGAGTGTGTCCCACGATCGATATCAGCGACGGGTAGTACTGAGATGCCTGAACCATCTTCAGGACATCGACTTTATCCAATCCGGCTGGGCGATCACACAACACGTGTTTTCCGATGCCCAATGCTTTCACGGCGATCCCCGAATGCAAATGAGGTTCACAGAGTATCACGACAAGGTTGACCGATTTTCGTAAGAGCACCTCATCTTCGCGAGTGGTCCAGAACGGGATATCGAGCTCGGCAGCAGCTTCTCTGGCGAGTTCCTGCGTGGTGGCCCACAAAGCTTCTATCCGAAAGCCGCGGGACCTCAACTGAGGCACGATGATTCGGGCCGCGAGTCCCGAACCGAAAATTCCTATACCGGGAAGACTTTTCGAATCCATGGGTCTGTCCAGTAGGTATCCTCGCTAATGGGGCGCCTTGGTGTAGATCGTCGACTGTGACACACGGGCGCACTCTGGCTGATTAAGCTCACTTTAGAGACATCAGGCGTCCGGAAATTTCAAGGTCCATTTTGTCGTTCGATAGGGCGAACTCACACGCGAACATTCGGCAACACTAACAGCAGCGGTAGACGGCCGTTGCTCGATCAGCACATGACACCTGTTCAGTGTGGCTCTGTCCGCACATTGAAAACGACGACTTCTCCCGAAGGGAAGGGGGGCCGGGGATTTTCTCAGTGACTGTCGCAGACCCGATCGAGACTAGGACCGTTGGCGTTTCGGGCACAACAGACAGGCGTCTCCTTCACCTTTCGTTCGACGTTTTAAGCACGGTATTTCATGTTGTTTCACGCTGTGAATACACTTCTCGCGTCCTGCAGCGAGCAGTCTGCGAATGCAGAGATCATACGACGGAACCAGCAGTTGCAGCCGCCGCCTTTCGTCGTCTGTTCATTTGAATTACCCTTTCCCCAAGTATTCGACCCTCTCCTAGAGAGGACCTTCGATCGGAGGTGAGCAACGGTGCTACCGATTGATGATCCGTGAAATGGCTGAAAACATGGAACTTGGGTCCAACATGGGACTTGATTCGGGAGTCCGCACTAAATGGACTCTCTGAGATCGGATGAAGATAACAATGATAGAAAAAGATATCATTGGCGGACGATGCGGCTCCGCTACGGATTCTGCGGAAATCTCCCCTCTCGCCGGAATATCATCCTTAACTTCGGATCTCCCGATCGCATCCCCCCGGGCTTCGAACATTAGCTGGGACTAACTCATCGAAAATTAACGGGAAGTGCTGAGGAATCCAGTGACAACGCCTGGACTCGCTGCCTGTCGCAGGGGATCATTGCTCTGAATTATCTCCTGAGTCAGAAAGACGCAAAAGAAACTCAGGACCGATTCATGAGACTCACCCTGGCAGTAGCAGCAAGCTACGATGAGAGGCTGTAGGAGCGATGAGAGGATCAATGAGCATTCAGGCCTGATTGCCTGATCGATCGATCACGGCAACCCCATGGTTCCTCAAACAGTTATTCGAATCGCCGCTTTTCCAGTGACCCCAATAATTAAAGGTACATCCTCTGCGGCGCGCTGATCCTGCGCTATATAATCCCTTGTAGCGTGCGGATTACCGCCTTACGCCCCTCGCGGAAGCGCGGTTTTCGGGAGCAGAGCAGCAGCCTGAGAATACCAGTGGGCAGTGGATGAATCAGGATGCTCGGGTGAGGGGAGATCTTCTGGCGCTCTCTACTCACAAAGATATCGTCGAATATCCGCAGATATAGTTTTCTCGCTTTCCCTCGAAGACGGACAAGTCTACAGATCGGACTCAAGGGGTGCATAGCTCGAGAACCTATGGAGTCAATACTCGCGCCGCACCAGTTCGAGGATTATATTGCATTGCTTGGCGAACTCGTATCCGACTATCATATCCGATTATCGTGGGGATAATCGTGAGGATCCCGACTGTGTTGCCGAGGGCTTGAATGCAGAGATCCCCGCGTCTGCAAAAGCCCGTTCCTCTTGTGACACCTGCAATCCCCCTGGGAGGATCGAAGACGGCCTTCACATCACAACTCGATGACGGACAAGTCGATGCCGAGAAAGTCAGGTTTGGGAGAAGCGGAACTCGGTGTACAAGGTATCGAAGCTTCGATGACTTGGGAATCATTGATTCCATTGGAAAGCCTCGGTGGCTCGCAGAGGCTCGTATCGATTCGGCTGATAGATATACGGAGTCCTCCTGATGTGGGGCTGAGCTCGGATTTCTCCCTCGCGGGAATTTCTCAGTACATTATACATCGATATATCCACACTACCCATCTATATATCTTAGAAGACCTATATAACTCTCTCGATACATAGACGGACTTGCTGGATTTCGGATCGAAAAGTCTCGAGTCTGGATACTTGCCCTATTCTGCTTGTTCCGTCCCGCTCAAAGAATCCAGCGATTTCTAGGGAATCTCAGTCTACAATCAGTCAGAGATTGAGTCAACGTGGACTCGTAGAACTCGGCATGGTCGAAGAGCGAAATTCTTCCAGCGAAACAGTTCTGAGAGAGTGCGGAGATCTGAATAATTCCGAACATTCTGCCAGCACCGTTAGTGCACTTGAAAGACACTGGAGCTGGAGAAAGGGTAATATCGTACGAAATCTCGATTGAATTCCAGAGAAGATCAAATTTTGGGAAACTGACAACGATCTCCGCAGTCGAGGCGACACCGCTTCGATGGTCGGTTTTTCGATGTTCGAGTTTTTCGATTCGCCGCGACAAGACGCCGTTGCGGAAATACAATTTTAGTTTATTTCAGACAAATAAGTCTGCAAAAAGGTGCGGTGATCATCATGGTCGACTCACATATGCGTGAATGTTGAGCGTATATCGATACTACCTACATCTTGACATCTCGTCGTGACTCAAGAATACATATCTCTGTACAAACATACAAGGCAGCGGATGCCACACTGGCATTAGAAGTATCGTCCTTCCCGCCCGTCTCTTCAGAAAAAAGAGGAGAGTCCCTTCCGGGAGGACCCCGAGGCATCAATGAATCAAATATCAAAAATTGTGACTCAAGAAGATATCGCGCTGGGGACATTCACCTCGAGCCTAATTGGCTCTCGCAAATCCTCCCGCAACGCCTCGAGGGTTTGAAGCGCATCCTTGATGCCCCTCCGCGTTTTCTGCAGGCTCGTATTGATCCGCGCAAACTTGCGACATTTCTGTGAAGAGGGAATCGAAACATTATCCAGTTTTTTCTTGGAGTGTCTGTTCGAGTTCGGAGCCGCGTTTTCGATTTCCACTCACTTTGCATTGAGGAGTTTCCCTTCGCGCTTCCGGCGCAGCTCCTTGGAGCTCGATTTTCATCGCACTGTACTGCTCTAAATGTTTCTGGGAATAAAAGAACAGCAGAATGAGGAAATTTGAAATTCATTCCGTGCATCTCATCGAGAACGAGTCCCAACGTACCTCACTATCGTGCGCCAGCAGCTCTCTACGGCTCTTGAAAATCTCATCGCAGAACTGGCATTCGATTGGGCTAGACTTGGTGTTCGTTAGACTCGATGGGAATATATTGGGGACCGAATTTCCCTTCGAAGTGTGAGCGAGACATATTGTTAAATTCTAAGCTCCGATGGAAGAGAGTCGGGTGGTCCCGAGATATTGAGGTCGAGAGTAGAAAACATCGATACACATTGCACTCACTTTCAGATGCCCGTTCGGCAATTTCTGATCGTCAGAGAAATGGTCCGAACAAATGTAATAAGTTAGAGCTAGGTCGGGATCTCTATTGTGCCGTCGAATCTGAGGAATAGGATCATATGATGATGATTCTGTGAGAGCACGGGTCGGCGCGGTCTCTGCGCTCACCAAGACATGATATCTGAGGGATTGGATATTTGCTCGGGAACTCACCATATCTATCCACAAGCAACGAGTCGGGCCTCTCGGTATCGGGTATATATGTTTCCCTTCAAATATAAATCCCAATGAGACTCAATTTCACTATACGGCGACGATCATTCATCTCACTCCAGCGTACGCGAGCATAATCTCTTCGGCAGTCGAATATAACGTGGGAAGGTCACGGAAATTTCCTCACCGTTCATGGGTTTCGTTTTGCAAGTCTCGATACTGCATTTCAGGGAGTTCAACGGAACTCCGAAGTTCCTGGTTCTTTTCGAGTTCGAGCTCATAGCGATTAATCCTCCCGCTCGCTGGAAGTACACGCGTCTCCGAATCTTCTTTAGCTATCTGTTCCAGGTTGAATTAGGTGTGTTTTCAGGTGCTGAAGAAGCCTCCGCTGCGGTGGAAAACGGTTTTTAGTGTCCATCGGATAGTTATCACCGGCCTATTGGGATCAGGTCCATTGTTAGGAAACTGGTGCTTGTGATTTCTGCTTGAACTTTCGGCTCAGCCTACGCGATCGCGTGTCTCCAAGGATTCGATGGTGACCCACTGGAGCTTCTCCAGGTCTTCGGCTTTCGCGGCACCGGACGGTATCTCTCATCTTCAGAATTTTCGGGGCTCTCTTCGTCCAGAGGTCGTAAGGCGTGGAGGCATCTGTCCTTGAGCAGCGGAAGTGATTAGAGAACGAGGCAGACCCTTCCCGGGAGATCAGACTCCGATGTCATCCGTTCGGTGCGAGATCAATGTCGGTCGTCGATGTCAGATCACTCCTCACAATCTTTGTCGCAAGGTGGAAATCTGAAGATCCTCATACCAGCGAGGAGACTCTGGAACAGTTGCGGCGGCGGATGCCCGTATCGCTTTTTCGGCCCCGCGCTGCCCCGTCGCGGAGATTCACGCTGACACAGTACCGAAAGTCGAGATTCAGACGCGGGAATCCCCGATCTCCATTAATGCATCGGCTCCTCTGCGAAATTCTCTTATGTCAACGAATTTCCCAAGAGGTCGAAAACTCGACAGTCTCGAGACTCCAAGAGGGTTCGAAATCTGAACAGACAGAGTGACTGAAGTTTGAGGCCATCGTTCGGTAGGATTCACTCAAAAAGGAGGCTACTGCTCAGATCCCATCTTAAGCTGCCCCCGGAGTCCATGAACGCACTACTGTCCTTCGGACTAATGAGGGAGCTCCGATGCGGGTCCGAAAGCCAGAAGGGGAAGCGACTCCCTCATGCGTCAGCGGTGAACAGCCCATGGCTTGCAGTGTTGCGATGCGGCTCTCTTCGTTGAGGGGACTTCACGGAGAGTCGGGGGAAGGAGCACCCAATCCGGATAATCGAGAACAGGTGAGTAGTGCAAGCTGCTGCTCTGGGGAATCCCGAGAGAAACTCTCAGCCGTCTGGGCAGCGGAATGTTGAAAACGCAAGGACCGCCTTATTTCATCGAGAGCTTAAGACGAAGAGAAATAAAACAGAACCCGAATCGTATCAATATCAGCTGATCGGTGTAGGCGGCTGGGATCGAAGCTCGACGGGAACACGAGAAAAACTCGATCATACCAATGATGATTATAGCATTATACCATTTCAACATCAAAGAGTCGGTTTTTGGGGGAATTCACATGGTCGAGACTCTACTGATCTCGGATCTTCACCGCTCTCGATCAGCAATGCGGGGATCTGTAGGGTGGGGGAACTCTGATCTGGGACCTGATTCTTGAAAACCGAGAAGCTGATAAGGGGTGCGCCGATTCACTCGAGGCATACGACCGCATTCAGATGACTAGTGAAAACGCACTGGCATGCTTTATGCGATCGAGTTTCTATGTTTTATTTATCTGCTTGCTTTAGCCTCGATCTCCGTCTCTTCTGAATTTTTCACAGTCGTAACAGCAGACAGCACGGCGACAGTCGTTGAACTCGATATGCAGCTCCGATCACCTGGAGGATCCTCATTCCAACGATTGCGGCAGTCTGTCTCACACAGCTTTTTTTTGTTACAGGTGTTGGTTTTTTCCTCATTTTCGCGTTTTAGTTTGTTGTTGCCTTCATTCATTCAAGGAGTCCTGCAGCTCTCTCAGTATAAACCTCAGCTCAACGCAGACATCGACTCACTTCGGACGAGACAGATTGAGGCCCCTCAAAAATCGGGTGCTCGCGCAGCGGCTGTCAGCTGGCCGATCAGCGCCCCCGACGCTTTCATTAACAACCACAACAGCAAGAAGGAAATAGGGGATATCCCTGATGCCGGAACAACGTTTGTGCTTCCAAACGATAGGACCAGCGATCTGAACAATGCGACCAATGATAATCAATACACTTGACGAGAGAAGAATAAGCGAACGAGATGCGCTGGTTGGCTGGCTGCTCGCACTCGCGACACCCCCGACTTTTCAAGCTCGCTGCAGATGATCCATGAGTCAACGGAACCACGATGCCGGAACGACGGATGTTGTTTCCCTGCTTGCGGACTGACTGAGGTGGTTTGTAGGTTGGTTGGCTGGCTGACTGTTTGTTTGCAGGTTGTTTGGTAGAGCAGCATGGATTGAATATCGTTGGTAAACCACATATATAGAAATAAAATAGCGGGGATGAAGGACAGCAGGCCCGAAGGGAAGAAGCTGCGGTGGTGGAACTTCCAACTGAACTTCTTCCGAGCGGGATTATCCGGTTTAGTATCCGGTGAGCTCGGCGAAGGTTTGGTCGAGCTCGTCCGAGATGCTCTTGTACTTCTCTTTCTCTTGAACCAGTTCGTCTGCAAGAGAGATAACGAAGAGGATTCAGTCAGCAGGTTGAGAAAACCCGGATCAGGGACTCGGGGCACGACGATTATCGTACTCGGTGATCGGACATGGGGGGACATAATCACCGAGAACTCGGACTATCATGGTCAGTCGAACGTGCCAAGCAAGAACCTTGAACACGCATCTCGCGGAGAAAATTGAGCAAAGGATCAAGCACCCGATTCTGAGGTTCGTCGCAATGCGAGACCGGCAGAAAACGGTTCAATCGAATGAGAATCGTCAAATGTTAGTTGGTAGATCACTACAAACCTGTTTAAATACGTTATAGAAAGCAGATGAAACGTGGCAGCGGAGAACCACTCAATCAAACGATCGGCAATGAATTACAGCAAACTCCACGAGGAGAGAATTCGATTTCTCCACTGATACCACTTTTTGGGATTCATCAAGCACGAGAAATTCTATCCTATCTGTCTGTCTGTCTGTCTGTCTGAATAAGAACCTGTTGGTCTGACTCGCACCGAATGTATTGTCTTGTGTTGCTTAGATAAAGTTTTCTTCTGGTTGAATAGATAGATTCTCTGTATACTCGCTCGGTCGCTGGTGTTCCTCCGACTCCGATAATATTGATTTGTATATTTAGGTAACTATATTAGTTTCCTCCTGTATGTATAGAATGTATGAGAGGGGAAGGTGCAAAATTGCAGTTGTGGAATGAATGTCGAAGACTCTTGCGTGTTCTGTCTGGCTAGCAAAAGTTGAAAGTTGGGGGCGGTTGTGATGTCCACTCTTGCACACGTTCGTCACGGCAGTGGCGGCGGCAACGCTCTTGTTGTCTTGGAGAAGATTCGCTGATCTAAAATGCGTTGGCGGGTGGAGCGAGAATGTTTACATCGACTGCAGATCCTTCAGAGTTAACTCCACGTCATTCTGCAGTGAGGCGCATTTCTCGCGCTCAGAACCCAATGCATCTGCAACACACGTTAGATCGGAACATGCGAAGGTTGTCATGAGAAAATTGATTGTTCGGCGAGCGAGCGGGAGCCGTGGGTTCCGAAATCGGAATCAATCGCGGTTATAAGGGCAACGTTTGCACGCACTTCACACAATTCTTCAGGCCTATAACTGACGACAGGGTTCGTTTTCCCTCAGTCGTCTCACCGGATCGGAAACTCTTGGCAAAGAAAACGGGAAATATCCGGAAACTCACCCTCGAGCCTGTCGACTTCCTTCTGGAGCTTCTGGACAGACCTCTCAGCGAATTCAGCGCGGGCCTCAGCCTATGGTGAGAATAAGAAAATTAGATACTTCGTCCGATCTCATACTATCGTCGTCAAGGCTCAAACGGGGTCGATCACGAACAAATGAAACAAGCTGAGGCGAGCTCTGATATTGCTGTGATCAGTTTCGATACCGGAGACTAGATTCAATTACCATTAATATAATTATAATTATCAATAAATCGAGATCCAGGCTCTAACGTTAGTGTGATCTCAGATATCATGGCCGTGCTATCGCTCCCGGATCCGGCAAGTTTCCGAGAAAGAGCTCGACCTTGACCCGAGAGGGGTGGAGTTCGTTGAGGTATTAGTTCTGGAGACGCAAATCGATGCGTATGACGGTACGGAGTGAGCTCCGGGCATTTTCTACATCTCTCGCCAAATCACGCTCTAGAGAGATTTTGTTGCTCAACTCCGTAACTCATGCACTACTGAAACTGCTCGTGTATTCGAGCGTCACACTCTTCCGACAGCGGTTTTACCTCCTGGAGACGACCAGTCATCTGGCGGATTTGCATCTCGTAGGTCTCTTCCTTTTGCAGAGCCTGATCAAGAATAACGGAACGATCGTTTTAGTTGTATCACGATGGAGAAAACTCACCTCCTTCAGTTTGCCTGTGACAGAACGAATCTGAAGTTCGTATGCCTCCTCTCTCTGTTGAGCCTACGGGTCAAGAGTGAAGCGGTTGCTTTTAGTCACAGGAAAATAGAAAACCAAGTATCTGCGTTCGGTTAGTGTTAACATCCAATTAATTTGGAATTCTCCAGCAATTCTACAATTATTCTGAATTGACACAGGAATGGATTGAGGCACTCCAAGCTCTGAAAAGGTGTCGACTAGCAGACTCATTTGAGGGGGGGACTCATTCAGATCGAGCGCTACTGGTTCTCCGGACATCGGTTTGCCAAAGAACGGGTTTCAGGGGGGGCAACCAGTCAACCTATTTAGTGAGTACTCGGACACATCCGACGG